GAGCATCTCCCACGTTCGCGCGGGCATGACGATCCAGAGGGGTGGTGCACCTTTAGCGGACATCGACCCTACAAACTCATGTCCACCACCCTTAAACATATAATAGCCACATCGCGAAGGTCAAACAAACTGGACAACGGTCTTCCAAGCGAGTGGGGGGGGGGGGCACCTTTGCAACTCCCAAACACCCCCCCCCACCCCATTTGACATTGCTTTTGAGACACCCGGTTGATTTGACGGGAACCACATCTTTTGGGATATGTTGGCTAAAATTTGCGGCTAACATGATTCACACATTGAAAGAAAGGGAAGCTTGTGAAATGAAGCCTCATTACGAGTGACGTCGCGAACCCCCTCGTGGCGTCGCTGTGACTCAGACATGGGATTGTCTTTCTTGAGGGACCCCCCCCCTCCCCGCCAAAAAAAAACAACAACAGCAAAACAACACAAACAAACGACAAGACGGTGGTTTTCCGTTGGCTTCTTTTTACAAAACCCAAAAGGGTACCCTTGCCCCCCTCCCCCCCGTCTGTTTGGAGTTCCTAAGTTAACAGCCCGCTAGTCTCGTCCTCAGCTTCTTCTTCTTCTTCTTCTTCTTGGCACCCGACACTTTGGTCTCGCCAGGTTTCCTCGGCGCGTTGTGGCGGACGCGCCTTCAGCGCCACTGGATTCGAGCGGGCTGCTTTGCAAGGGATTCTTGAAACCTGCGCCTTCAAATGAACACGTAAGCACACACACACACAAACATGCAACATGGAAACAACACCAAAAAGACAGCACAGGCAGCAAGAAAAGACAAGCAATGCAAAAGGTGCGCACTGCCAATCTCAAACGAATGCATCCCGCCAAGTGTCTCCGACGTGAACTCCAAGCTTTCCTCCCTCTGCTTCTTCCTGAGGACTGAGCTGTCGGTTTCGGTCATTGCGCGCCCAGAAACCAAAAATAGGGGAACCCGCCAAAATGGGTACCCAATTCTGCCACCAGGCATATCGAATCACGTGCCACGGTGCAAGCTGAGTGCGTCGAGGCTTATGAAGCCGCCCACTTCACATCCCAAAGCTAGTTGTCACTTTGAAGGTGGCTCCCTCGGTATCGCCAAAAATTGGCCCCACTTGTTTTCACAAGCTGCAGTTCGTGGGGGCCCGCACATTGAAAGCACAACAAAGGTTGTTTCGGCTTGGCGCCATGCGCCAGCCAGAAGTAATCAGCTTCTACCGGTACAAAATGCTTCCAACTTGAAAATCCAACTGATTCCAGCAACCCCAACTCTCTCAACAGCACTTATCACGATTCACCAACCAAAGGAAGCACCGAAGAGAAAGGTCGCCGAGCGAGCTCGTCTTGGCGTGATCGGCAAGCTCGCGGTGCGAAGCGACGCAAGCAGAATAATCTGCATTTGTCTCGTTGTAATTCCCGAAATAAGACAATTTCACAAGTACATCACCTAGCTTTCGCTAGCTTTGCACAAGCTCGACATAACATTGGCAGAGTGCATTGAAGATAAACAAAGGGACAGTGCCCTACATACTGCAAGTAAACCAAGGACACACAATCACAACACTATGGACATGTTCCGCAATTTAAGGTGGGTGGGGGTCCTTGGTTCTCTTTAGTCCATTTGGGGTTTCTCCCTGCCTTCCATCCGCTCCACGATGTCAGGGGAGAACAGCCGGGCTCTGTTTTCACGCTGGAGTTTAACGACAGCTGGCAGGTCAAGGGAAACTCCTGGACCTTCAAGGGGGGCTATAGGGAGGGGGGGCTATCCCTTAATAAGGCCTTAGCCCCCCCAAAGATTCCATGAGAAACCCGGTAGCCAAGTCGACTTTGGTCCTCACTTTCTTCTTGCCAGGCTTCGCCCTCAGCGAAATTCTCTTCTGACCAGCTCAGTTTATTGCCCGGAAATGACCAGCACGCTTCTTGGGTCTTGAGTATCAAGGGATCTGCCAACAAAGATCTTTTGAGCGACTCTGTGCAACATAGGTCGTTCCTTCCTTCAGGGAAGAAGCGGCACACACACACACACACAAAGACTGATCAAAACACGCTATCGCAATGGATGCAAAATTGCGCAGCAACATATCATCAGCAAACATTACTCTAATTCCAAGATGATTTACGTAAGGGTCCCCAGGTGAGCTCGCTATAACATTGGCAGAAAATCTGCTTTCATCAGTTTCTCTTAGGTCTGATCCCGGAAATTTGTCTCTATGACCGTTTCAAAGTCATAGCCATGTTAACCTTGGAACCGGCCTCGCGGGTTGTTTAAGGACTCCGTCTTGAACTGGAGATTCCCCCAAACAACGAGAAAAGAAGAGTCAACCAAGGGATTGATACTTCAAGGTGAAAATGAATGGCTATTGACTATTCGGGGCCATCCAAGACTATTCAGTACCTTCCGAATGCGTTGGCTCAGTATTTGGAACGAGGTACTATGATGTACTATTGTTTGATCGCTTGATTCTATCTTCCTGACATGGTCTGCTCTGCAATGGTTCGTCATGGGTAGATGGCTATCTTACTTTGCCACACACGGCTGAAGCTGCAAGCAAAAAGCAAGGCCAATCCTGTAACTCATCGTTCGCGATTGGCTTGGCAATGTTCTGGGACTCCGGCCTCTCCGGAGCTTCTTCTGCCGTCTCTTCTGCCAGCTTGGCTCGCTTGGCCTTCCTCGCTTGACCCCCCCCTCAACCCTTCAGCTCTGGTGGAAGACGTTGGCCCAAAAACATCCCCTTGGGGGCAACTAACACGTGTTAGAAATGGAGGTGTTTGGGGTAGTGGCATGCTTTGAAGGTGGCAGGAGCGATTCTATGACTTACAGTCTATGTTGCAACCCTGCTCTATATAAGTGTCCAACCCCCCCCCCCCCCTCTCGAAACTCTTGTCGTGGAACATCGGCCCCTTTCTGTCCGACCGATTTGTGGCTGACGCAAGAGTCGGACACCTAGTGCCCCAGCCCTCCCACTGCAATGGTCCTGCCACAAGCCCCAAAGGCAAGTTAGATGTTGCACTATACCGGCCACAAAGCGTTTCCATCTACATTTTCCGTTGGGGGTGATGGTTAAAACGTAGGGGCCCCGCCCTTTTCCCCTGCACCAAAGGGAACATGTATGGGGAAGAGCCCTTTTGGGAGCACATCCTTCCATGCGTTGCTTGGGGTGTAGGGATGGGGTAGCAGCCCTCTTATCCAAGATGGTTTCCACTACTTCTAGGCAGAAGGGGGGGTATATGCCTTTTGCACATAGTAGGTATGCGGTTGTATATCTCGTCGTGGAAGCCATTTTAGATCTTCTCAATTGCCAAAAAGACCTGAAACATGTGTTTCAAAGTTCTTTCAAAACAAAAAATGTTTGGAACCTTGACAAAACATGGACCACATCAGGGAAACCCAAAGGTCGAAAGGTTGAGCGAGTCTTGGATCTATCTTTTGCAGTGAGAATACGCTTTTGGGCTTCTCAATCCCCATCCGGAATCCGGGACTCCTCATCGACGCATGCGCCGCGCCGCTTGCCGCAAAATCTGGTGCCAGGCTGTCTGCTTTCGCCGATCTGATCTTGAAAGCCAAACTCCTTCCATCTATGGAACCAGATTTCCTCATATGGAAATAGCTTTTCAAGATGGGATGTGAGGAAATACATGCTTGCAGCAGTTAAGCAGTCTGAGCGTGCAGTTTTTCTGGGAAAGTTAATTTCCCAAGCCCCAAATGAGGATTTCGCTTGCCATGAACTATGCGTATGGGGTGTTGTCAATGTATACCCTCGTGGGACCCGCCTTGTGCTGCCTAAATCGGATACCAAAAAGGGCCCCTCTTTTGGCAAAAGTTCAGATGCCATTGACTTAATTACGCCGCAGGTGGCCGCCTCTTGGGCATGACTGACAATTCGACCCTGCCGACATAATCAGGGGGTGGGTTTGGTCAAGGGGTGTGGTCCGTCAACCATTGGTGGTTTTCTAAACCATAGTAACCATTCAACCTTTTTCAGCAGATTGGACCCGTCGGCCCAACTCAACGAGTGTGGTTTGGATTGAGACCACTTCTGAAATTACGGGGCCCCCTTGTCCCCTAAAACAGGACACCCATGTAAGGTTCCTTCTTGCACAACATCACCTCCAACATGGCATGGAAACTCAATCTAAATCTGCCTTTCCAAAAGTCGTGATGCAACGCCCAAGACATCTAAGGATCCCTATGCCGTGCTCTCATGCGGGCGCTTGTGAGCCGCATGGCTTCAGAAAGAACAACCTGCAACGCGGCGAAGAGCGGTGGGGAAAACCACCCCCCGAACAACACATACCATATGGTGTCTTCCATGTTGGCCTGATGAAGGGTGATGCTTGATGTACATGGTGGATAACAAGGGTTGCGTCCATCGTTCAGTCAAAGGAGCACCTACTCTTTCGGGACGTGCAGCCATTAGTCATAAGATCCTTTCTCTCCCTCCCCTACACCTTCCTTTTCGGGTTTCCTCCAAGCAACGTCTCAATAGAGCCCATTGGGCCATAAAGTAGTTTTGTGGGCGGGAAAGCAACCCTATGATTTCCCAGTTGCCCACTAGCACTGGTCGAAAAATCATTGCAACCCTGTTCGGGGCTGACCATTTGCTTGAAACACCCAACCGAACTAACAGAGATCTGCTGGTTGCCCACCATAGTGATCTTCTCAAACCAGCGCACTGTCCGCAAAGGAACAATGGGATCACACTCACGTGATTGGGCGCGGGTGCGCGCACTGAGGGAAATTCGATTGCATAGGTGACCTTTTGCAAAAAAAGATGAGCTTTCCTGGTAAATGGGGCATACAACCCATCTAAACTAGTGCCAACCAAACCATCGTAAAAAACTTGGTCGCAATGGATGCCTCTGCAACAAGTGAATAACTGATTGTTGCTTCAATACGGAAAACCAATTTAATTTCAACAAGAAAGTTGCAGTCTAAAGATCCATTTCCCTATAGCAAGCAAAAGGACATCCCACAGATTCCAAGTCCTTCTGAGGCGCCCTGCCCGATATTCCCAAGTCCGCTCCCGCTCCTCAAGGAGCTTTGGGCTTTGGGTCTTGAACACAAGAACAACGTCTGAGAATTTACTTGAAGCTCTGGCGAATAACTTAAGCATGCATTTTGGTGGTGAATCTGCACTTAGTTCCTCAATCCTAGATGGTTTCCACTCCACTACCCCCAGGGCTTTAAGCACCGTCTGGATTCGCTACTTGGCGACGAGCTACTTGGGAATGCGAGCTGGCCGGAGTTGGGAAGTTCACAGTGCGGACATCCGCCGGATGCAACTGGCGAGGTTCATGACCCCCCTTTCCTTCTTTGGGGGGAAAATGGTTGAACTTTCCAAGGCGCAGTAACCTTCCTATGGCCCAAGGTTCACCGTCTCAACCTGAGGAACCGTGAGGTTTCACTCCCATCCCCCAAATTCGGTGCTTGCTTGCAAGTGAAAAAAAACAAACAAAAAACGCGAGACGTTTCAGAAATGAACGGAAAGTCCCAGGTTCAATGGAACCCGAATGCTTGTGAATGCACATTGAATGAACATACAAGGCCTCAAACCCCACCAGCCCGTCCAATGGAAACGATGCATCCATGAGATCGCGGGCCTGGAGCTCGGGGCTGGAGTACCTTGAGCGAGCCGCGGAATGCCGCGGAAGGCTTGGTACGCTTGGTGGGATGTCTGGTTGTTTTTCCTGGAGTGGTAAACAAGGCGACCCTTGTTGTGCCCCAAGTTTGGGCCTGCTGCAAACGGGAGTTGGTTGGAACACAGGGCTCGATATCTGCCCTACTGAAATTCACCAACCGGAGCGAAGAGAATTGCAAGGATCTTTGTCAATGACCGTAGCCCAAGAGCCGCATATGTCATGTATCCTATGTTCCAGTGGGAACCCGCCCCACTAAAAGGACATCATGTGTTTTGTTCTGTACAAGACGATGTTTGAATCACACAGGGCCAACTTCAGGAACCTGGTGGTTTTGTCGTCATAGGACAAGTTGACTTCCTCAGTCTCCGACTCCACTCGTGTCGGAGTCCTGTACGCGTGCGCGCGGCAGCAGGGGAGGACAACTCTAGGGGTCAACAAAAACAATGTGTGGCCGTGGGCACTGGCAAATAACTTAGGAGATGCATCTATATTAGAATATACTAATATATACCCGCAGCACGGCTGGTTGACCGTCACTGACTGCGGTAGTTACCGCGGCGCCTCAGGCGGGGGGGGGGGGGCGGTAATGTCGTGCTTTGTCGACTGCGAGCTTTGAGCCTTGCTTTGCCACGTTTCGCACGTTTTGCAACATGTGCTCCGCAGTCATTATGGGCTTTGCTTCCAACCCCTCTGCACATGTCGTCGGTTGAAGCCTTGGCAATCATTATTTTGCTGCGTCTTTGTGGATGGCGAGTGCAGCATGTCCCTCCAGCTCTACGCTCTGTTGCCAGTTTTTTCCTTTGCCCGCTGCAGGAACTGGACGAATTTCACCAGGCCTGTTTTGGCATAAATGAACACATGTAGTCCTGTGTGGTCCTGTTTCGGTATGAATTAGGATCACAAGTGTTTCTTTTCAAATCGGGAGCTGGCAGGTATTATCTGTCGAAAAAAAACAATACAATTAGGAGCCTTCGCACACCGCACACTGAAGAAAATAGCCCAGAAAAAGATGGCGACTGAAAGTCGCACATCCTTCCAACTAGCGGCCGGAGACAACAAGGCCGAGGCTCGTTTGGGAGCGGTGAAGGGAAATATGCGAAGATTGGGCTCGATGAAATCATCAGCGTTGCCAACCTTGATGAAATCATCAGCGTTGCCAACCTCGATGAAATCATCAGCGTGGCCGACCTCGATGACCCCTAAAGACTTTTTAGTCGTTGTTAGGGCGCTGGAACGGTTGTTCGAAGAAGAAGAGTTGTCAAGTGCTTGCGTCCGCTGCTCTACACAGAATGCCGGGATTTAATACCGTGGTACTGGCTTGCAAAGCCTACCGCCTGGCTCTTTCACAAGGGAAAGTGAAGCTTCCCCCTCGTGAAAGTTAAGTTGCAGAGCATTTGCCTTGGTTGAACGCGTGAAAAGATGGCTTGGGATGCGTGGCAAATGTAGTAAGATTGGAGCCGACGGCAAACCATCCGTCTTGGGCGTGTATTTATGGTACCCCCCCAATGGACCCTGGTTTGGGCTCCAAATTATCAGGCTTTGGGTACCCAAAATTGGATAAACAAATGAGAATATACATTTTGAAATTCTAGATTTGCCATCCCCAAAACGCAGTAAAACCAGGGGGGTTGCATATATATATATATATATATATATTTGGCGTGGCATCTCCTGGCTCGCCCCTACAGCAGCAGCCTGGGTTTCTTCAAGGAAGCGTGTTCGCTTGCCGCGCTTGCTCCCATTAACAAAACAGCACCTACGATACTATTCTCAAACGGACCTTCAGCAGGCAGCATGGCGCGATGGAGGGGAAATCTTTCTGATTACCCCGCCCCACCCCACCCCACCCCACCCCACCCCACCCCACCCCACCCCACCCCACCCCACCCCACCCCACCCCACCCCACCCCACCCCACCCCACCCCACCCCACCCCACCCCACCCCACCCCCCCCACCCCACCCCACCCCACCCCACCCCACCCCCCCCCCCCCCCCCCCCCCCCCCCCCCCCCCCCCCCCCCCCCCCCCCCCCCCCCCCCCCACCCCACCCCCCCCCCCCCCCCCCCCCCCCCCCCCCCCCCCCCCCCCCCCCCCACCCCACCCCACCCCCCCCCCACCCCCCCCCCCCCCACCCCACCCCCCCCCCCACCCCACCCCCCCCCCCCCCCCCCCCCCCCCCCCCCAAAAAATAGTAAAAGGAGAATTCAAAGAATTATTCTTTCTACTATTTTTTCTCCAACAGCAACACAACAAACAGAAAACAAAATCCAGAACAACAAGCAAACAAAATAAATAATCACAACCACAACAAAAATATTTAATCACAGCATGCAACATTAAATAATTCAATCAAGCATACCAACAAAACAGCAACACTCTAAATCATCAAAGAACCCAAACTCAAAAACACACATCAACAAAAATCAAAGCAACATACCAACAAAAAATATCACAAGAGCATCAAACAAAACAAAAACAAACAGCCAAAGCACGAAAAAATTGAAGAAGCATGCCAAGTCTAAACAACGCACTTTGAAAGAGATAAGCAAATTATAATAATTCAATCTTTACAAACGATAAATATACTACAATTATAACATATAATATTTTACATGTGATAATCATAGTATGAGTTCAACTTTATTCAAATTAATTTTAAAATTCTCTTTCAATTCGTTTCACTATTTTATCAGCTGTTTTCCGATTATAAATATTATTCCCTATTTCTTTTACAAATGCCTTCATTACACTAATTGCACGTCTTGCCGTATATCTAAGTTCGTGAGCTTCATACTTACAATTTAAAAACTCATTTACAAAATCAAAGTCATTATCATTCAATGCTTCGTATTTTAAACGTTTAATGCTAAAAGACAAATTGTATAATCTGTTTACCAGGCTATAATACTTATAAATAAAACCATTCACATATCCATTATCTAATAAATTATCAAATTCTACTTCAGTCAAGAACTTATTCATTTCAATAAAAACAAATATTTCTAAATCATCATCAAGAGTTTCAGCATTTCTAGTATCAAAATCTCTGTTGTTCATATCATCAATTTTGTTTATAATTCTATTACAATTATCACATATCATACATTGACAAATATTATTACTAACACCATCTATAAAACCCTGTTGAATTGTTAACTTTAGCATCTCACAGTCTTTACATTTGTAATTCATAAACTTTTGTTTCAATATATTTTTAACATCAATATCTTCATGGACAGTATCACTAAATTCACTATACACACTTTCTACATCACTATATTCTCCATATTCACTTTCTGTATCACCGTTCATTTCTATCTTAATATATTAAGTCAATATTTCTTTAAGTCGTTTTCAAAGAATCTATTTTATAATGGCCGTAAGCAAGTGAGTTTACACTATCTATCCAATATTTTTTGTTTTCATAACTACTAAGAGCAATTTTTTTAGTTGTTATACTAAAAATTCTGTGGTTTTTACTTCTAATACTATTAAATGACTTATGTATAACCTCATTAGTTTTTAAAACCGTCTCAAACTCTTCATATTTCATTTGACGTCTTACTGTGCCTTTTGCTATGCCCTTACATTTCTTATATTTTTTATCATCACCATAAACTGAGTAAGCATAGCATTTAGGACGAAGAGCTATAAACCCTGTTATTATTTTACTTTTTAATTCATCCTTAAATTTACCTAATACTTTCTTGTTATTATCATCATAACATTTATGTTCCTTAGGATAATCTGAAAAATCTATTTCTTTTTTAATTGTATTCAGGTCTTCATAAATGTCATTGGTTTTAGTATGAAATACAAAACTATCAGTATCAGTATATACCATTTTAATATTATCTCCATATTTAGGCTTCATAACGTCATAATAAAATTTATACATGTGTTGCTTACTCAAATCTAAAATACTCATCCCAATAAATATAGGTTTGTCTAGTTTCAACTTTGTTTTTTGCTTTTCAACTCCAACCAAATTTTCATTAATGATATGACTATGTTTGAAGTTAGGATTACTTACACACTTCATATATCTAGTTTCATCACTCACAACTTCAAAGTCTAAATGTTTTCGCTTATCCTCCATTGTTTTTCCAAATATGGCATTGTTCATCAATTTGTAAACATCTTTCTCAAAATCATTTCTAGCATTCTTCCTCTTCTCAGTGTTAAACTCAATGTAAGGTTTTAAAACTTCTTTTTGTTCAAATTTAATTGCTCTATGAATTTTCTTAAGTTTTAACCCTTGCTTCAAATAAAATTGCAAGGTTCTTATATGGATTACATATTTTTCTTTATCATTTAAATTCAATACTAATTTATTTGTTTTCTCATCCGTAGGTTTTTTATGATTTAAAAATTCATAAATTTCAATTTGTTTATCTGACAGCATGTCGGCTTTAACATTCATAACCTCAGGTGCCATTGGATAGTCATTGTGTAAATCGTGTAATTCTTTAGGATATTCTAAATCCACTTCTAGAATATATCCAATATTATTATTCTTATAATTAATAATGTCTTCTTCTTTTAATGTATCATCCCATTTTAGATTTTTATATGGCAGTTTTTGTATCATGCTTAACCCGTACAAATTATTAGCATCAAAATAGTTAATATAACTACTTTCTTTATTTTTATCATATTCTTCTCCCATGTATTTATTGTTTGCTTCAACTTTTTTAGTAGAAACCATACACATCCCGCCTCTAAGTCCCGCTTCTATCATTTCATACATTTCTTGGTCATATATTAAATCAATCTCTACACCAGTCATTTTAAGCATAGCATCAAAAGCAAAGTTAGGCAATGTATAATAATAAGCAGGGTCCAATCCATAATATTTCATACATACATCTCTAAAATTTTCGAAAATGTCAGTCAATAATAATACATCAGTTTTCAAATATAAATCATGGTATTCACCCATATTCTTAATGTCGAAATGCTTCCATATAATTTTTGCCCTTTCATAGTCGTTAACACTTATACCTTCTTCACTCAACTGACTATAAAAATCATCCTTACTCGGTAATTGCTCATCATCAAATTTATCAAATGAATTCATGTAGTCATAAGGATAAACGCCTTTATCAGTTAATAAATCTAGACATTTCTCACTCTTAATCACATCATTTTTACTACTGAACCTAAAATTATCTTTCCAGTTTTCACGCAATAACCATTTACTTTTATCTTCTTCATCTGTATTATCATACTTACTCATTGAAACTAACTTATCTAATGAAGCAGTTAAAAACCCAAAAGTGTCTTTAACACTCAAACTTTCAAAACTGATATTAATAAATTTTTCACTGTTCTGAGCGATGACACCTATTTTACTGTTGTTACTTAATTTATCAGCATTTTGAATA